AGGCTGGGGGAGGCTGGAAACCGAGAATCTGCAGGGTCACTGGGACAGGGACCGACAGCCCTGGTGTGGGCTGGAGGGGGATCCTGGGCCACGGACAGAGGGAAGGGACGCGCTGGGGGGCTGGCAGGTGTCTGGTGAGGCCGTTACTGAGTGCTTGTTGTTCCTCAGCGAGAAGAGACCCATGAGGCAGCTGTGGGACCAGGCAAAGAGAAGCGATGCTGACGGACTGCACCTCCATCATTTACCCGGTCTGTTGCAGGAAAACCCATGTAGTGAGATCCGGTGGTAATGGAGGGCAGGGGGCATGTCCCGGCCGTGACATGACGTACTGGGACAGGGTTTTCTTACGCCAAGTCCTGCTCTTGCTCCTTCCCACGCCCATCACGCCCACAGATAAGCCCTTCCATATCTCTACCTTCCTTCTTACGTAGCTCCTGACAGCCCTCCCTCCTTGGCATCTGTCACTGCCAAGCCTGACTTTGTGGTAACAATCCGTTGGGATGCAAAGGGCTAAGCAGATTGTATGGTCTTCGTGGTCTCAGTCAGTGCCTGTCATTCTTCTTTGTCCTCAGATTCGCAGCCTTGTCCTTGATCCAAAGGACCTGACGAGATGAACCTGCTAGGTCAGCATTTTCGTTGGTTCCAAAGCTCCAAGGTACGCAAAAGGAAAACAAAGCCCCAAGTGACCAGCACCCGGTTCAAGAGGAGACATCAGCAAACTGCCATGAACTGTAGCTCAGTGCTTGCTCTTTGGAGCTGGAGGGATACAAAGCACTAAAGAAGAGCATGGAAGTGTTCAAATTAAAGAATTCAAATGGGAGATCTTTCTCAAATCATATGTTTCTCTTCTTGCCTTCCCATACCAAAACCATAATGTGCTTCACCTCTTTGAACCAGGAAAGATGCATGGTAACCGCAGTGACATTATGCGAAGCAAACTTTTTTGGCAACAGCTTGGACCATAGGGTGAAAGCCACAGGTGTGAAAGGTGCAGAGATAGCATCTCATCTCAGTTTGAACTTCTTTTTCGCATCTGTCCCTTGGTGCCAGTTAGTGTCTGGGAGTCAGAAAGCAGACCGGTCAAGAAAAGTTTTTAATAATACTGCTGTGACCAGAGTTGTCAATGGCTCGTGATTTTCACAGAATAGGAAAAAGAGAAAATTCAATCCAGGACACCTGTCTCTGAGAAGAGACTGCAGAAGGGTACGCAGCTCTGAGGAAGTGACAGGCAACTGCCAAAGAGCCTGGAAAACCTGGAGCCTCTTGGAATGGGAAGCAGCTAATGTGATGAAAGAGGCCTGGGTCACTGCCAAGCCTGACTTTGTGGTAACAATCCGTTGGGATGCAAAGGGCTAAGCAGATTGTACGGTCTTCGTGGTCTCAGTCAGTGCCTGTCATTCT